TTAAATACTTTTTTTTTTACTTCCAATTCATAAACTAGTAATTAGAGGAGTCAATTTATTTTCCGTTCACTGCAGCAACATTTAAGTTCCGAAGCTAATCTTTTTTTCTTTTTTTTTGCGGTACGCGGGCCTCCCACTGCTGTGGCTTCTCCCGTTGCGGAGCACAGGCTCCAGACGCGCAAGCTCAGCGGCCGTGGCCCACGGGCCCAGCTGCTCCGCGGCATGCGGGATCCTCCCGGACCAGGGCACGAACCCGCGCCCCCCGCACCGGCAGGCGGACTCTCAACCGATGCGCCACCAGGGAAGCCCCCTAAACTAATCTTTTTAATGTTAGTGTTTATGCTACCTTGCTTTTCGTTCCGATATCCGAAAAGCACGCAATTTTCCTTAAATACATTAAATTTGCATATTGTAAGCTATTCTGTTTTTTGCCATTAAGAAAGGATTTTTTTTCCTGTTGAGCGCTTTGGTCATTTTGTTTTTTTCTCTGTTAATATTGAAACTGCAAGGAATTCATGCCCAAGCCTTGTTCACTTGGAATGCAGGCTTACAGATAAGGCTTATAGTAGAAGGTGTCATTTTAAGCCTCTTTCCATGTAACATACTAACAAAAAGAAGGCTTTGCTAAGAAAATGTCATTTGTTAATAGCTTAGTATATGTATTATAACTGTATCAGTGCTTACCTGGGTTCTGTATATTGTAGATAGTATAAGGATACGTGTTTAAGGATTTTTATCATCCGTTCCCTAGAATATATTCTTCTTGGAAAGGGGATTATTTTCATTAAACCACACCGTTGAAGGGGATTTTTAAATTTCCCAGTGTCATAATCTTTTTGAGGCTTAAAGTCTTTTTTTTCCTTCATCTTATCTACATAGTGGCCTCTCTTTGGCACCTCTGTGAACTACGCTTTCCTGCCTTTTCCATTTTTTTTATTCTCGATAAGGAAAACTCTTTTCTTAATGGACTGCTTTGCATACATCAGGGATTTCAGCTGTTAGATTGTGTGAAAAATGAAGCAGGAGACATCAGATGGTGTGATGACTAGAACTGTTAACACAGTAAATACCAGGAAGGCTGAAGTGTGAGCTAAAGCAGCTGGGGGGTGGGGGGCTGGGTGGAAAAGATGAGAGACACAGCTGGGAGAACCAGCAAGAAAAAAATGGCCAGAAAACATGGGGGAGCTTAGCAAGAGAAGTGCAGCCCGAGGGAAATAAGAATGTAGGAGAAGGAAGCGTCATAAGTTATGTTTTCCGATACTGCACAGTATACCTCAGCCCATATACATTGTCCTTAGCTACTCCTTTCATTGCTGTACCATTATGCATAGTTAGTATGTAGTTTTCTTGGACGGTTACTGTCAAAGGCTGAATATTGAAATTTTAATGGAAGTATATGTCTTTGCTTTGAGGTTGATCTCTGTTATACTGACAATTTATGAAACCCATCATAGAATTCAGAAGGATTAATAACAAATAGCATATACTTGTTTAGAGATATATTTGATTTTTTTTAACCAGAGGGTATCACATTGCTAACATTTAGCATTTGGACAAATAGGGGGTGTGTATAATGAGCTCGATTAATAACTGGTTTGGTAAGTATATCCAGAGGGAACTGATTAATAAATCGCTTTCTTCCTGGAAAAAGGTTTCTGGTATTTGAACCTAATCCTATTCTAGTCAACATGAGGACTCATTTGGGTAAAACGCTATAAGTGCGTGGCCGCAAACTGGGAGAGGTGGCTAATGTAATAACAAATGAAGGAAACAGAATTCGATAACAACTTGACATTTAATGCAATGACCCACATCTAAGACGCAGACATGGAACAGGGGTGACAAGAGCAGCTCACCACCACCACCAATTAAATTGCAAAAAGGCAGTAAAGAGAGATGTGGCTTAGCAGCATCGTAGATGAAACAAATTTAGATTTTGTGTGAATCAAGTAAAAGATTCATAGATGCCCACAGTATAATGTAGCTGGTGAGAAAAGCTTCGGTGATCTTAGGCTTTCTAAATAAAAGTGTAGCATCTGAACTGACTCAAGTACAAGCTCCTCTTCCCGGATGCAGTGTTACTTCATCTGGAGAACTGCCTTCAAGCTTAGTCGTTTAGAAGAGAACACCAGCAAATGAAAGTGTCAGCCCCCAGCATGTCTCCTCCTACCTTCCCTGTTTCCTCCCCACTTGGTCCTCTTGCATGCACTGTCTCGCCCTCCCCAGATCTAAATTCAGTTCTCACTAAAGCAGGAAATACTAAGATGTTTAATCCTTAAACCCGCAGTGCTGCAGGGCATACCAGTCGTCATGTTCTCTCTGTGCCTCGCCCATAATCATCTTGCTCAATGCTTGTCTGAGTGTGTTTGTTGAATTTTGATCTCCCATGCTGAGAATGGTATTGCCCTGAGACTCACTCCTTGACCTTCCAAGTTTCAGCTCTTTGTCTTCCTGTGTATTACGTGTCTGGGACTCAGTGTCTACTTTGGGTACCACGGTCTATCTCGGTCTTGCCAGGAGGTCTTCTAGACAAGTGTGCCTCTTACCCAGGGATCCTGCCCCGTGGCCAGATTCTGTAGCTATGACTGGACCTCCAGGACAGTAGTGGACCGCCTTCCTGACTTGCCCAGCTTTTTGCTCCCTGGTGATAGCTCTGCCCTCCCTATGATAGCTGGGCCCTGAGAATTCCCCTACCAACCATCACCAAAACCCAGATAAGGACTGTTTCCTAAATCAGATCAAGGTTGCCTTGTCCATTGGATGTTGTGTTTGGTCCCTAGATTGGGCTTTGGAGCTGGATTGGGCTCTCAGCATGCTCTGCTCTCATGAGCAGGCCTGGCCAGGACTCAGCTCCCTTCTCCATATAGCCTTTGTGCTCTTTTGAGTCATAGTAGGTGGTACTCAAAATTATACTCTTTGAAATGGAGAAGGGGACACTAAAAGGCCGCAGAAGAGGGACCTCTTTAAACACGTATCTTCAGGTATTTCAAAGGTTGCCATAAAGGGAAAGTACTGGACTTGTTCTGCATAGCCCTGGATATCAGAACCAGGACGCCAACTAAGGTTGCAGCCACTAAGCCTTCCTTACTGCTAGCTCAAACCTAGCAGTGCTTCCAAGAGGTAGAAAGGGATTCCTTCTGGAAGCCTTTCCTTATGGGAGGGAATCTGGCATAGGCTGGAATAGCAGGTCTAAGTTTCGTTTATTGGTTTGTTTCCACTACAGCCTGGATAAGGATAGTATTTACTTGGCTGGCATTTGCACGCATGATATATTGCCATGGTAATACGTCTATCATGAGCGACCTGCAATCCTACTCCTTTCTCTGTCTTCAGGGACCGCAACTGAGAGTGGCTTTATTGTAGCAATATCCTCGCGTCTGCTCTGATTTTTTAAAAGTTACTCAATCAGCGAATAAATATTGAGTGATTATTATATCTTAGGCACTGTGATTCATTCATCACTCAGTACTTTTAACTGCTACATTTAGCCAAGTATTTTTGACATTGCACTCATGAACTGGATGTTACAGACATTGTAGAAAGGGTTCAAGTATCAAGTGATGTTGATTTATAGCTCACCTTTAAATTTCTTTTAAATTTAAGAATTACTCATTGAGCTCCTTGAGTCTAGTCTCCTACTGAGTAGATGTCTAGCCTCTCAAACATGAATTTGGATTCATGTTTCTTAAGTCTGTGCTACCAGATCCCAGTATTTATCTACACAGATAGCAGGGAGGTTTGCTGTCAATGTCATCACTACTTCCTTAGGAGGGACTGTAGGGCATAGTTTTGAAGAAATGCTCCTCCCCCTAAACTTCCCCTCAGCAATGGCAGCTGGGGCTTGGGCCCATGCCATCTGTCAGGTGCATAGTCTCAGTGGCCCAGAAATAGAATTCTATTTCAGATCCTCTGAGAGGCTTTAGCCAGAACAAGCCTTCAGGTTAGTAGGCAAGAAGCATCATGAATTACTGGAGTTTGTTTGTTGGAGCCTCTTATGAATGACATCATCCATGTTAAGAAGCTGGTAAGAGTCCTCATGAGAACTGTCAGTGAAATCGGTATAGAAGAAGCAGTGCTAAGATTGGCCTTCTACTGACTTAGTGTATGCAGGGTAGGGGGCCAGTCATATTTGATTAGATACCTGGTTTCAGAAGTCCAAACTTCCATTCAGTGGGAAAAGAAATCAGCATTGAAAGCATAGGATCGCTATTTGATTGGCTCAATCATTGTTTGCAGTAATTAACTGCTGTCCACACTCAGAGATAGTCATGAGGATGAGAGAGGACCTGAAGGAATATTGGTCCATGCAGAATTATACTCAGGTTGTCTCAGTCAGACTATGATAGTTTTCAGTGGAGCCAGGAGACCCTTCCTCAGTACAGCAACTCCAGTGATTCCAGCTACAATTATACTTGGGTTTGCCATACTTATTTCAGATTGATCTAGAAAATGACTGACATTGTAATGTGTAATGTCCACATTCCTTAGAATATTGTTTTGGTAACACCTTTATTGGGATATAATTCACATCCCACTTAAAGTGTGCAATTTAATCGTTTTTAGTATATTCACAGAGCTGTGCAGCTATCACCACAATCAATTTTAGAACATTCGAGTTACATCAAAGAGGAAGCACACAACTCTTAGCTATCATCCACATGACGATCATTCCCCAGCCCTAAGCAACCTGTATATTTGCCCATTTTGGACATTTCATGTAAATGGAATCAGATAATATGTGGGTTTTTTTGTGACTGACATTTCACTTAGCATGTTTTCGAAGTTCGGCTGTGTTTTAGCATGTGTCGGTACTTCATTTCATTTTATGGTCAAACAATATTCTTTCATATGGATATACTATACTGTGTTTATTCATTCACCAGTTCATGGACATTGCTACTGTTTCCATTCTGGGGCTATTATGGATAATGCTGCTATGAACATCCACATACAAGTTTTGTGTGGACTTAATGTTTTCATTTCTCTTGGTATATACCTAGGAGTGGAATTACTGGGTAAAATCACTCGATGTTTCACTTTTTGAGGAACAACCAGGCTGTTTTCAAAGTGGCTGTACCATTTTACATCCCCATCGGCCAGGTATGAGTGTTCTGATTTCTCCACATCCTCGCCAACACTTGCTACTATCTTAGATTTGTCAATTATAGTCATCCTAGTGGGTATGAAGTGATATCTCATTGTGGTTTTGATTTGCATTTCCTTGATGAGGCATCTTTTCATGTGCTTATTTGGCGAAATGTCTATTCAAATCTTTTGCCTGTTTTTGGTTGCGTTGTCTTTCCATTATTGAGTTATAAGAGTTCTTTGCATATTCTAGATAAAGGTCCTGTATCAGATACGATTTACACCTATATTTTTTCATTCCTTGGGTTGTCTTTTCACCTTCTTGATAGTATCCTTTAAAACATAAAAATGTTTTTAATTTTGATGAAACTTAAATTACCTATTTTTCTTTCGTTACTTGTGCTTTTGAAAGTATTACATCTAAAACACCAGTGCCAAACCTGAACTTACAAAGATTTACCCCATGTCTTCTTCTAAGAGTTTTGTAGTTTTAGTTCTTAAATTTAGGCATTTGATTCATTTTTGAGTTAACTTTTTTATACAGTCTGAGCTGAGGATCCAACTCCATTCTTTGGCTATCAGTTGCCCCGTAATCTTTTGCTGAAAAGACTATTCTTTCCCCATTGAATAGTCTTGGCACCTTTGTCAAAAAATCAATTGGCCATAGATATATGGGTTTATTTTTGGGTGCTGAATTCTGTTCCACTGATCTAGATGTCTACCCTATGCTGGTACCACACTGTCTTGATTACCTTGTTTCCTTGGAATAAAAACATAACCCGCGAAATTCATGTTCTGAAAATGCAAAACTATGCACCACTTTTATGTTATTAAATTAGCTGTCAAATAATATGTTCAGTTTTAAAATCAGACTCTTTACTCCTGTCTAGTAATACAGATAGTATGTGCAAACATATTATTTCCCATACATATTAATAAGATTTGGCATTTTAAGAAAAATGTTTATCCTTTTCATTTTATTTTTTTACTGTAGCAATTTGCTTTAGATAATAAATCTTTCTCACATCTCTGACGAATTCAAGAGAGTTCTCTGGGATTGACAATGATAACATGGGGAAGTGGAGAGGTTTGGAATCCACATCTAAATATATCTGTATGGCAGGAGTTCAGGAGGAGGTTTGATTTGAAATCTAATGAAAGACAGAAAGATGGCTTGAGAAGGGCTCTTGTCTGTCAAGCCCTTCACCCAGAGAAGCCCTGCTCTCTTAGTTTGCATGCCTGACAAAGACCTGGAGTCGAGTTGGAGAAAGACTGCCCGTGACTATGTGTCTTGTTCTAATCTTTTTAGACTTATTTTTTAAAAAGAAAATAATAATGTCGCTGAATGCAGTGGCAAACAAAAGGCGGCCATGTCTCACTTGGTAACTGTCAGGGAAACAATTGATGTACCTAAAGATAATATAAATAATCTGCTGATTCTGCTATGGAAGAAAGCCATGGAAGAATTCTGCTATGGAAGAAAGATTCATTTATTTATTCATTTCATCCTTCTGCCCTTCTCCCTTCGTCACTGTACTTTTCATGGTATCTTATGTACAAGAGAGGTTCAGTACAGGAGATGTAGATTAGAGGATGGGAAGAGAATTGGAGAGGAGAGGGGGATGGAGAAAAAGCAGGGCACCAGACACAGAGCAGAAGAACAGATGGGAGATCAACTGAAGTCATTCCTGTGGTCTCCTCTATTCCCGCACATCTTCCCCATTTCCACAGTGGAACGGATGAGGGAACCACTCAGGATTAGATCGGTGTGCCATTCGGGCCACACTGTTCATGCTGCATCAACGATACTGTTGTTCGTAAGACATTTTCACAGTTAAATCACAGCTTACCTTACCTCGAAGCATACTCTTTTCAGATAAATCACTTGTTTTATTCTCAAATTCAGACAACAGTTATTTGAATTTTAGTATCACTACAATAACACATAGATTTCTTTGTCATAAAACTAGGAAAAATAGGGAAAGAGCAAGTAAATTGATGTGTATTTGATTAGACATTGACTTGGCTGCTATTTCGGAGAAATTTTTTTATTCATTCACTACTGTGTGTAGTTTTTCCTCTACTTTGTAGTTTGCTTTGTTCAGTGTTTGGCATAAATGTGCCAGCATTTTTACAGTGAACTGGACCAGTATCTGTCACAGTCTCTATCCATCTGTCTTTTTTTTTTTTTCCCCTAACTTTTTTTCTCTTTGGTTATAGGCCAAGAAGGAAGGGAGAACATTCACCACCACAACGTTTCAAAGGGAATACATTGCCAGCATTTTGAATACTTATTTGGACAAACCTTTCTTCAAGGTAAATATTACCATTGTACCAGTGATGGGGGCACATCATTAGAATTTGCAGATTGCAGCGGTAGTGCACAAAGGCTTAATTGTTTAGTCTGGTACAAACCTAGAAGTGATAGGAGAGAAAGAAGGAGAGGGAGCCGGAGGGAAGAAAATAGCGCTGTTGGGATATCCTGCAGTCTCTTCTAAATGTGTTACCAGGAGAATGCCGTCAGAATCTGGGAGCCCACTGAGCTGGACTCAAAATGTGTGGGAAAAAGGGGAGAAAGGGGAATCTGTATTTTTTTCTTCGTGTCAGTGTCTCTCAGATATTCATGAAAACAAAAGGCAGTGTGGTCTAATTGTAAAAATAGCATTTCTCTTTTATGAGGAAAGAGTTGGGTAATTCCTTTTAGGGGTTAAAATAAGATATATGTTGTATTCACATCACAAGGGGGAAAAAACCTGAATCATAGTATTTTACACCAACTGAGACTTACGAATATGGGAGAGTTTAAAAGAAATCTGTGTTCTTCTTTTATGAAAATACCTACTAAGTAAATCTTTCATTGGCTGTTGATAAATGCTTCATGAATGATGTCCTTTTTTGGAACATTATATTCGTGATGCCTCTTTTGGGGGGAGGGGAAGGTGTGTGTGTGTGTGTGTGTGTGTGTGTGTGTGTGTGTGTGTATGTGTGTATGAGACAGAGAGACAGAGACAGAGAGAGAATAAATATGAGACAGAGACACCAAAGAGAAATCTGTCAGCATCATACTGTATGTTTCAGAGAAGTAACTCCAGGCATTTTCTTTATGAATCATGAGCTTGACGAGAATAAAGATCTTCACAGAAGCAGCTGAATTCCTAGTCAGCTCCATCACTCATGAGTTAGCTGTCAATATTTTAACATAAAATGCTGTGTCATTTTTATGAAGCTCCCCTGTTGCTGCTCAGTCTGTAGCTAAAAGCTGTTTTCACCAGGCCCTGAAATTATAGTGGATGAACTGCCTCCTTCCTTCGAGAAAGATATTTGTGTGCACTCACACACAGAAATGCAAAAATCTACCATCCAATTTCAAAGAAAATACACTTGTCAACTTTCTCTGTTTAGCAGTTGATATAGAGTTGACAGTACTTGGTCCTGAGCTGGCCAGAATGTAGTTCCAGATTGGCAGGGGGAGAAGAATGTTCTCCTCCCCAGTCTTCATCCTGCCTGTTCTCTTCTGAAGGGGTTGGTTCGGGAAAGTGGAGGCGGTACATTAGAGGAGAATTTTGTGATACTATTCATTCTCTGTTCTGACAGAGAAGACATTGTTTATTCACTGGAATAGGCTTGGCAGGAATCTGTGCTGTGCATACAGAATGGAAACATCGCAGAGCAGTGGGGAATCTCAAAATCCTAAGCAGTGGATCAGCTTAGAGCTTTTTTAAAAAATATATTCTAATAGCCTCCATGACTGTAGATGCAAGTCATAATTTGGGGAGATCGTTTTCCTTGAAGTAATTGTTTGCTTCACTATTGCATTATGCATGTCTCACACGGAAAAAGTCCTTAAGAGAGCAGCCTGCCTATCGCAATACTGTAGTAACAAAAATTAAAATCCTGAAAGGTGAGAAATACGTTCTAAACGCACTAGACCTGCTTTGAGATTGCTGCCTACATATAAGCATTCAGGTGTCGGTATCAACGAAAAATAACCCGTGCATGTCATCGGATGATTCACAGAAACAAGTGGGAGCTGCCTGAGATAAGAGAAAAAAAGACACATTAAAAGATGTGCCTTGGGGTAAGAAGTGCCCCGCCAGAGACAGTTTGAGAGGGCGCCATGCTCAGAATGTTCCAGAACTTTAAAGGCAACAACTGTAAAAGCCAAGGTTCAAAGCAGTGTGCAAACCCTGCAGTGGCCTGGGGTTTGTGCTTCTTAAAAGCTCTGCGTTTATCCCACTCTGCCACTTCCCTGAGCACAGCGCCAGGTGTCTGGGACTCGGGGGGTGTGTGTGTGTGTGTGTGTGTGTGTGCATTTATGTTTCTCACCAGAGCAGATAAAGGTGTTGCCAGGCTGCAGGCTGCCATGTTCACAGACACAGCACGTGAGCTGATCCAGGGGAGCCCTGAGAGCAAGTGTGCCCAGCCACCCCAAGCCAAGTTCACCAGCCCCTGTCCTTATGCTCAGAGAGAGATGTGTCATATTCCCCAATCTTGGCTGGTATTTGTAAGATCTCCCTGCATCTCTTTTTACAAGAACTATATGATATAAATTCTGACATTTCTAAAATTACAGTTATGATGACGTCAGTATACAGTCAGCTATTAGATGATAGCAAACCAGTCTCAGCTTTTTATGTAACTTATATAAGGATTAGTCTTACACACCTAATGAAGATCTTTTATTCTACAACTTAGGACATTATTCATGTACATTACCTGCTTTGTTTTTTCTTTTCAAGAAATGTACATTTCCTTAAGACATATTTGACAATCTTTATAAATATATATTTATTAACCTTTTAAAAATATATAAAATTTATTTATATGATGCTAGTTTCAAGTAAATACCAATGACATCAAGAAAAATTAATCAAGATTTACCGAACTATTTCCCTCTATTGTGCCAGTCTTTTGGGCACATTTATTTTGTCTGTTTTAAAGCTAGTTTTATTTTATTATTTTTAACAACTGAGGTAAGGACTATGAAGGGAGGTGAGGCAGAGGCAGGACCAGCCCCTACTGCTCCTGCCAGGGGCTCCTGGGAGGCGCTGCCTGTGAAGCAGGACAGGAGAGCCCTGAGAGATGCAGTTTGCAGGGCAATTGCTGGCCCACCTGTGATTCTGGCAGCCCTGCCTCTTGTTCTGTCTCCATATTTCCGTTCTGCTGGAATCTCTGGTAACTGTGCACGAGGCCTGATCATTAGTGCGTGCAAGTAACAGCCAGGCTCTCCATCACGGGCTACCCCAGCCCGCCAGAAAGGCAGCATGTGCACCTCTGGAAGCAGCACTGCCAAGCCTGGCCTCATTTGTATCCTTGTAATTAGTCAGGCCTGGCTGTCTCAAAACAAGGAGCGCGACGGTTTTGTTTTCACCAATGTTGTGTGTCATCTTTGTCTATTACAAAAGGAGACATATACCAATAGAGGGAAATTGGAGTAAACACAATGGTGCTATCCTATTTAACCAACACATACTGCATGTACGGTGAGGCAAGCACTGGTATCAGCACTTTGCAACTATTAAACCATTTAATCCGCCAGACTGCTCTACTACTTTTATGATTACTCCCATCTTACTGAAAAGGAAGCTGAAGCTCAGAGAAGGTGAGTAACTTGTCCAAAGTCCCACAGGCGGTGAGGGCAGAGAACACAGCAGCAGTGCCACCTGTGCCGGAGTCTTGGCCTTAGGGTTCCGTGTGCCCGCCCCCAAGGTGGCCACTGTGCCACAGCAGATCTTGCTGAACTGTCACATCCCTTTGGGGTCTATAAACACACCTGCCAGTCTGCAGAGGTACACACGATGTGTGACATTGCTGGGTTTGGAGCTGTACACCCTCTGTCTCTTGGTGTTTATGTCAGTGGAAGAAGGATTTGTAACCACTGTCCTTCCAGAATTCAAAGTGGGTACGGATTAATGCTGCATGGGAAACCCAGGCTTCCAGGCCCCGGCCCCCGGGGCTGTCAGGTGAGCTGTACTGCACAGCATCACTCAGCAGCACTGGGACAAGGGCCAAGGGTGGTTGCCATCCCTCTTCTTCTGCACTTTTTCACTAGGTCCTGTACCTTGACGGATGGTGGCTCTGAGGGCAGCAGTGTTGCTGGACTTGACAACATTGAGAGAAGCCACTATTCAGGCTGGTGTGTCAATGACTTGGACGTTTGACCGTTCCTCTCTGTCGCCTGCCATGGGGAGTTAGATAGCAGCCTTGCCTTGCCTTGCCTTAATCCTGACCTTCCCCAAGCATGTTCTGAGGTGTGTTAAGGGGTGCAGCTCTCCACGGTACTCCTAGAAAAGAAAAGAAAGAAAAGTTTTTATTTATGATCAGATATATTTGACAGATGTGGTTTAAACAAAAATTGATCTACTTACTGCAGGTTTCTCAGAATTTTCTTCTGTCCCTCCAAAGCAAGATGTAGAAGGCAGAATTTCCTAAATTTCTTATTCTCTCAGGTAGGGAGAAACATCTAGCGACATCCCTTGGGTGGAGGAGAGACAAGAAAACCCAGTGTCACAGGAGGTAATCAGGTATTAAGGAAAGACCAATATGCTACATTTGGGATTCCTAAATTCTAGCCCACCTTTAAATATGGAGGATAGAATGGGGTTATCTCTAAGTTCTTTTCATCTTTATCAGCTGGGAATTTTGTTTATATTCTCCAAAAGGGCTTTCAAGAGTTAGACACAATATACAGCACATCAAAACAGAGTAAGTTTTAAAAAGGTAGGGGTAAAGTGAGGCACAAGGAATAGAAGGTAGGAAAGGTGGGGGAAGGAGGGAGATTAGTGCGCACAATGAATTCTGCAGGAGCCTTCATGGTTGATCTGAAAGAACGGAACATTGTTCTGTGTTTTCTAATGAACAGTTTTTAAAGAACTATGATCACAGATTCATGATTAACAGGGTCCTAAGCGAGGAACAAACAGATTTTCGCCGGAGAAACAACTATTCCCAGTTTTGAGATCAAAATTTTCCCATGGTTTTTTAAATCTGTGGCCTTTTGGTCTTTTAGGTAGAAATTTTGTCTCTGTCACAGGCTGGTACCAAAGAGATTTGGAACCTCCATAGACATGCTTCAGAGGTAGCTGTGGGTACCTTGCCTCATTTATTTATTTATTTATTTATTTATTTTGCGGTACGCGGGCCTCTCACTGTTGTGGCCTCTCCCGTTGTGGAGCACAGGCTCCGGACGCGCAGGCTCAGTGGCCATGGCTCACGGGCCTAGCTGCTCTTCGGCATGCGGGATCTTCCTGGACCGGGGCACGGACCTGTGTCCCCTGCATCGGCAGGTGGACTCTCAACCACTGCGCCACCAGGGA